TGGAGGAGGAAGATGGGACATAGCAGAGGGTGGGGGATGGGGAATCAGGGATGGCAAGACAAAGGGCAAGGTATGTAGGATGTAAGAATTGGAAAATTATTTGCTGAGAACATGTATGTGGATGTGCTTGATTGAACCAATGCACAGTGTATTTTGGATGGAAAATTCATTTGTGTGTTGTGATGCTGTATAGTGAATTAATAAAAAAAAAAAACAAGATAAAAAAATAAATAAACTCTAAAATAAAATGAGAGTAAAAAAAAATAATATGAAAAAAATAAAAAGCTGTTTGATGATGATATGGATAGTAATGTCTTTGTCTTGACTGATATCATGGTAATCATGCTGGAAAAGGTTATACACTATAAAGATATATGTGATTACATATAATTTAAATTAAATTTTAATAAAAAAAAAAAAACTAGACGGGACCAGCAGTTAGCGTAATGGCTATGTCGCTGAACTCCCACGTAGTCGACTGTAGTTCACGTCCCGGACCTGGTGGCTTAAACTCACGCTGGGCACATGTGCGTGCGTGCCCAAGATCCTGAGAGGAGAATGGAGGAGAAGGGATTGCAGCATGGCCATCCCCCCTGGGGGTTGATTTCTTGCTTTCTCTCTCTCTCTCTCTCTGTCTTTCTGGCGAGCGCATGCACCCTATAGCAAAAACCTCTAAAAAAAAAACAAAACTGGTTGGAAACAAATCACATTTCGGGCCAGCCCATGGCCTGGTGGTTGAGGCAGCTGGACCCCACATGGCCCACGATGTATGAGCCCCAGCAGCTTGAAAAACATGCTAGCTATTTGTGTGTGTGCCCAAAATCCCAAAAGGAGGAAGAAATGGAGAAGGGATTGGGGCATGACTGTGCTCCACTGGCGGTGCTCTCTTGCTTGCCCACCCACACGCCTCCTACCCTGTCTCTGGCAAGTCCACGTGCCCTCTTGCAAATTAAGACAAACAAAAAAGACACATTTAAAAATTAACAGAGGGCCAGCCAGGTGGCGAGCTGGTTAAGGCAGCTGGATCCCACATGGCTGACTCCACGGTTTCCATTCTGGACCCAGCGGCTTGGAAAATACACCAGGTGCATTTGTGTGCGTGCCCAAAATGCCAAGAGGAGAGCAGAGAAGAAGGGACGGTGGTGTGGCCATCCCCTCTGGGGAGGTGATCTCTCTCTCTCTCTCCCTCTCTCTGGTGAGTGCACATGCCCTATAGTAAAACTGGGGTTGGGAGAGTTAACAGAAGAGCCAGCCAGTGGTGCGGTAGTTGAGGTTGCTGGATCCCACGTGGCCAACTGTGCAGTTCGAGTCCCAGACCCGGCGGCTTGGAAAACCCGCTGGGCATGTATGGGTGTGTGCATGTGTGCCCCAAATCCCGAGAGGCAAATGGAGGAGAAGGGATTTTTGGAGTGGCCCTCTCTCATACGGGGTGCTTTTTCACTTTCTCTCTCCAGCCAGCAATGTGCCCTGTAGCAAGTTAAAATAAATAAGTTAACAGAAAATCTACTAACATCACAGTTGATCAGGCACTCAGAAACAGAAACCGCCCGTGTGCAGCTGATCTGGACTTAGTACATTTATTTCATCTCATTGTGGTCACCTTACAGCTGTTTCGACTTATTTTCAATCACATTACTGTTCACAGAATTCACAGAATTCATTAACAAACTAGTATTTTACATCCCAAGGTGTTTCAGTAGCACAGCAAAATAGAAAAGAGGCCCACGAGATGCCTGTGTGTGGAACCCGAGTCTATATAGATAGATGTCTAGAACATTATTGCTTCGTTAGTCCTATTTTTAGAAAAATAATAAATGACTCCTAGGAAACTCACCCTGCCAGGTCTCCTGCATTTTGTGACTGTTCTGAGTTCCCTGCCACCAGAGAAGCCACCGGTTGTGTTCTCTGCTGCTCCGGGGGCTCCAAGGGCCGGCCACAGGGAACGTCGCTCCTCCGAGGGCACGAGAACGTCCCTCCAGCTGGCCGTGTTTCTCTCTGGTCTTGCAGTCAACAAGCTGCACTCACACGTGGGTCTCTATGAGATAGAATTAGACCTGGATGAGAGGGCTCGGCGAATGGGAACGAATGCTCCTGGGAAAGCCGCGGACCATGCAGGGGGTACATCTGAAGCAACAAGAGTATCTCGAGTCTGTCTGTGGGAGATGCCGTAAAGAAAACGTCCTGGATGATGACGGTCCGAGGGCTGCTCCGCACGAGCTTGTCAGCGGCACGAACCTGACGACTCCTCGGGAGATGGCGCGGCTGGGTTTTCTTTTGTTCCATGTGTGTTTCCATTCTGTGACAAAGATCTTGGAGATTTCCTCATGGTCCCTGAAGCTCTGTGGATACCGTGGATACAGGGAGAGGGGACTGGCTTCCTCAGGGACGCTGGCGCCCTGACCGCCTCGGGGGCAGGATCCCTGAGCGACGTGGGGGCCGGGGGCAGGTGCCATGTGCAGACGCGGGCTGCCGACGGGGCCTCAGTCCAGCTTCTTGTTGTCACTGTGCACGGACGCCAGGAAGTCGACGATGAGCTTGGCCGTCTTCCTGGGTCTCTCCATCACCACCGAGTGCCCACAGTTTTCCAGAAGCTCCACCTGGCAGTTGGCAATCGACTTGGCCAACATGTCGGCCCCAGACACATCCAGCACCTGCGGGCGAGAGGGACGAGATGGCATCCAAGGATCGGATGCCAGGTGCCAAGTCGGCTCTGCTTTCTCCCAGTACCCGCCCTTCGCGCTGGATTTGCACTCAGGCTCTTCCCTCACCACCCTCGCCTTCAGCTCATCCCAGACAAGGCCCTTCTCCATCCACAACAGCAAATGCAAAACCCCAGGCAACTCGAGAGAGCCTGTTCCCGAGCTTTATTCTCGCCCAGCTGGCAGTGTGGGCGGAGAACGCCTCAGCAACGGAGGGGAGCCCCGCAGAGCACCCTGGACCAGGGAAAGGAGTGATCAGCCAGAGCTGGGTGACAGGGCACCTAGCTGAGGGCCAGACATCTCCGCCCTGTCACTCACTCACGGCTACAGTTGTGGCCACTCTGGGCAGGAAGAGAGCCCGGGGACTGTGGAAAAGTACCTACAGGGAATGTGGAGGGAGCCAATGGGGGGAAAGAGCATGAAAAAGCAGAAACTCAAAGGTGTGACTCTTCTGCAGAGACCAGAAACCAGGGTCCATGGGCAAAGATGGCCGCTGGAGCCTCTGGTTTTGGCTCTGACACCGGTCAGTCTGTGAAGCCAGCCTTCCCCATGCTCACCCTGAGGTGTGGGAAATCACTGAGGGTTCCTCTTGAGATATGCACGTCTGTGGGAGCCACAGCAGCTACTTCATGGACAGGATATTCATAATAATGAAACCTTTCTCTCCATCCTCTCTCAGACCAAGACCACCCCCAGGGTGAGACGAGCGAGGCACTTGCTTGGGACGGGAAGTTTTAGTGGGCGCCAAAATCTCAGCAATCAAGATGAAACGTACTGATGTGTCTAACAAAAATAAACATGATGGGGCTGGCAGGTGGTGTGGTGGTTAAGGTGCTGGACTCCCACATGGTTGACACTGGTTCAAGTCCTGGACCCGGCAGCCTGAGACTCAGGCTGGGCGCATGTACGTGTGTGCTCAAAATCCCAAGAGGAGAATGGAGAGGGCATTATGACGTGGCTGTCACCCGCTGTTTTGCTTTCTGTCTCTCCATCTCTCTCTGTCTCTCTAGCGAGCATAGTCACCCTATAGAAAAATCCCTGTCTCAAAAAAAGGAAAAAAATAAACATGAATGTAAAAAATGCTGCTGGTGGTATGGCAGTTAAGGTGGCTGGATCCCACATGGCCGACTGTGTGGTTTGAGTCCTAGCCCTGGCAGCATGAGAAACACGTGGCGTGTGTGCGTGCGTGTTCCACATCCCAAGAGGAGAATGGAGAAGGAACTGCGGTGTGGCCATCCCCCCCTGAGGGGTGATTTCCCGCTTTTCCTCTCTGTCTCCAGCAAGCACACACACCCTGTAGCAGAAAAAAGAAAAAAAAATAGCCTGACAGCCCAGCTGTAGGGCACAAGCAGGAGGGTACCTCTGTGTGGTGGCTGAGGCCACACAGAGGGCCAGGGTTCGGTTCCCAGTGCAACCAAATCAGGCCGGCACGGTGACGACGTCTGTGGTACTAGCTAACCGGGAGGCTGAGGCAGGAGAATTGTGATATGGCGAGATCCCACCTCTCTTTTCCTCTCTGTCATTAAAAACAAACAAACAAAAAATGCAATGAACAAAATAACACAATTATAAACACAGACAGGCTCTCACCCCACACCTGCATGCTGCCTCTCTCCCGCCTCCTTAGTCCCAGCCTGGCCATGCGTCACAGCGGTCAGTGAAAGACAAGCTGCAAGTAGACAGGGCCCTGTCTGCCATGCCCCTGTAGTCCTAAGGCCTGACAACGTGAGGGCGCACGCTGGCACCCCACGAATCCCATGCACTGACTACTGTGTGTGGGCAGTCAGAGGGCGGGCTGGCCCCGATGCCGGTCAGCTTGGTTGTTCTCTTTCTCACTTGCTCACTCGCCGTATCTCTGGGCCTCCTGGATGCCAGCTGTTATGCCACCAGGGAGAAGGGACAGAGAGTAACAGACCCTTCTGTCTCCATGAGCCTCCCCCTACCTCACTCCGGTAGACTAAACACAGAGGAGTTGGAACTGCTGTGAGGGAGGCCTCTCAGAAAGGGTTGCCAGGGGCAGATGTACAGGCTGTATTCTGCCCAAATCCGGGGGCATTATTCACACAGGAGACGATACACATGGCTCCCCCTACAGGTGTGCAACACAGGCAGCTCCCCACGGGGGTCCAAGAACAGGGAGGCTGAATTCGGGCTGGCCGGGGCAGGAGCCAGCCACCAAATGTTGGTAACAGAGCAGGAAAACTATCCGGAGAGCTCAGGAGGGTTTGGGAGGGCTTGGGAGGCAAAAACTGTGGAAGAAAAGATGCCCTGAAGCCTTCTGCTCTGGAGACGGTCCAGGGAACACAGAACGAACCTGTTCGTTTTCCTAGCAGGCCCAGAGATGGTAGGCTCTTTTCTGAAACAAAATGGACTACAGAGTCCAGAGGAAAATTCTGGTCCAGGACCTAGGGCCAGCTATGTGTAGTAAATAAATGTTTTTCCTCCAAGAAAAAATACTTGAGCCTCATCATCACCCTCAGGGTAGAAGATAAACCCTCCATTTGCAGGGACTCAGTGACTTACTCAAGGTCATGGGCTGATAAAGGTGTGGGCTACCCAGAATCACCTGGCGGGTGTGTGTGTGTGTGGAGGGGAGGTTTCAGAATGAAGAAAGGAGAAAGGTTCCACTGCCTGGCTCTGCTTTCCAAGCCTCGCTCACCCAGGTCCTGCTTCCCTGATTCAGCGCACACAAAGTCGCTTTCAGTCCCGTGGGTGGCAGAAGGGCACACGACCTCCCTCCCTCCCCTCCACGTCCACAGGCCTGAGCTACATCCCCAGCCTGCCTGGCTGACCAGCCCTCCTTCTCTACACGCTGTGGGCACATGCCTGTCTTCTCTCATTGTCCCCACTGGGCCACCCAGGCATCCTGACTTCTGCCTCTGCTCTCCTCGGTCCCGGCAGGGCTCACAGTGGTGGCTTTCCCTCTGCCGTCCTTAGGGGAATGGTCTCAAAGGAAAAGCATTTCTCTGATTCCCTTTGGTCTCAACGTTCCATAGTGCAAGGATCTTGGACACCCTCAACAGATGCTGTCATTCTGTCTGCTTCTGTGCCTGTAAGCGGGCAGCAGGAGCTGGGGGAGAGGCATGGGGCAGTCTCCCTCACAGCCCTGGAAAGAGCTGCAAGCCCCTTGATCTTAACTTCCCGAACTTGGAGTCTTTTCTTTTTAAAATTATTTAAGAGAGATTTTGCTGTAGAGCGTGTTTGCTTGCCAGAGAGACAGAAAGCGAGAATTCACACCCAAGGAAGGATGGCCATGCCACAATCCCTCTCCTCCATTCTCCTCTCAGGATTTCGGGCACACATGCACATGCGCCTGGCATTAGTTTCAAGCCACTGGGTCTGGGACTCAAACCACAGTTAATAACGTGGGAGTCCAACAATGTAACCCTTATGCCATCTGCTGGTCCTGCCTCTCATTTGAGTCACCCAGTTTATGGAGCTTCCTTATGGCAGCCCCACCCCACAACCTGCCTTTGCCAAATCCTACGGATTTCACACACACACACACCCTTAACCAGGGAGTCCACATCTGAGAAGGGCCCCTGTCGATAAGCTCACATGCTCTGCACCCATGCAAAAGGAGGCTCACTGAGGTGTCATTTAACCGCAAAAACTAGAAGGGACTACTTGGTCATTGGAAAAGTCATGATGCATTTTTACATAGAAAACCAGAGAAAAATACGTCATGACTTTTCCGATGACCCAATAAATGACCACAAGTAGGACATATTGGCAGAGCCGTATTATGGAATGTTACACAGTTGTGAAAGAACGATGCGATTTCTGTCTCTCTCTGTCTCTCTGGCAAGCCCATGGCAGTCAGCCATGTGGGAGTCCAGTGCCCTTAACCACCATGCCACCTGCTGGCCCCATCCTGTGGTAAAACCTTTAAAAAAAATGATGAAAATAGGTAAAAGGTGTGGGCTTGCCAGAGAGACAGAAAGACAGAAAACAAGAAATCGCCCCCCAGGAGGATGGCCATGCCACAATCCCTTCTCCATTCTCTTCTCAGAAATTTGGGCATGGACGCACACATGCTCGACATGAGTTTGAAGTCGCCAAGGGTCCAGGGCTTGAACCTCGGTTTCCTATGTGGGAGTTCAACAATATAACCATTATACCATCTGCTAGTCCCAAGAATAAATTTTTTTTAAGATTTATTTAATTCCATTTGTCATTATTCTTTAATTTGACCAATGAGAAATGAAAGAGACAAGGAAAGTGAGAAAGCCACCAGGTCTGGGACTCGAATTGTGATTGACCATGTGGGAACCCAGTTCCCTTAACCACCAAGCCACCTGCCAGCCCCGCAAGAATAAGATATTTTTAAAAATAGGATGACTAGAGCCAGCAGATGACACAGAGGTTGAAGTACTGGGTCTCACATGGCCAACTGTGCAGTGCGAGTCCCAGACTTGGCGGCTTGAAAATCACACCAGGTGTGTGTGTGTGTGTGTGTGTGTGTGTGTGCATGCTCAAAATCCCAAGAGGAGAATGGAAGAGAATGGACTGCAGTGTGGCCATCCCCCATACGGGGTGATTTTTTTCTTTTTCTTTTTTAATAAAATTATTTATTTGTTCCCTTCATTTATTTTAATTTGACCAGAGACACACACACAGAGAGAGGGAAAGTGAGAAAGAAAGCCACCAGCTCCAGGCTTCAGCGGTCGGCCATGTGGGAATGTCCAGCGCCCCAACCACCACGCCACCTGCTGGTCCCTGGGGTGATTTCTTACTTTCTCTTTCTCTCTCTCTGGCAAGCACATGCATCCTATAATAAACTAAAAAAAAAGAAGGCAAAATGTCCTAGTTCTCAGCTCACAATGGCACCAGGCAAAGCCCTCCTCTTCCTGAGACTGGGTAGAGTCGAGGAGGCTCACTGTGTGAATGGCTCCCTGCTTCTTCACAGGTGGTTGTTCCTCCGAGGCAAGGTAATGGGTACAGAAACGGCAGGGCTGTGTCGCATACCTGGTCTTGCTTCCCCCAGATGATCTGTGTTGGGGCCTTGATCTTGTCCATGTTCTTATGGAGAGCGTATCTGGACCTCTCGCTGACGATCTCCAAAAACACTTGTCAGAAAAGGAAAACACAGTGAGTGCAGGCTAGGTTGTCCCTGGGCCCCACTGTAGAGCTAAGGGACCATCAATGAGCCCAGGCCACCACTTCATCTCTTTGGAGGCCCAAGAAGACAACATTCAAAGCCTCAGAGATCAAAGAACTAAAAGCCAGCCAGCCAGCCAGCAAGCCTCACTCAGGAACATGCTCCACGCTGGGAGCCAGGATACTTACACTTCCGGTAGAAGTTGTTATGAGGGATGCGGACATCGACGAGGCCTTGCAGGATCTAAGGACAAATCACCCCAAGTCAGAATGCAAGACGAGACTCATGGCAGCTCTGGGACAGTGAGGGAGAGTAATTCAGCAACTGACTTTCAGGGCCTGGTCCTCCAAATCCCCATAATATAGCAATGACAATGTAACCAAGGGTTAGGTTCCTAAGAGGGTTTGCTTTGTTTTGTCTCTTAATTAGGAGAAACTTGGGTAATGGTATGAAGCCCGAGGTCCCCTACAGCACGTAAAAGACATCTGGGATGGCCTGAGAGCCACGTTATCTTGAGAAATGTCTGCTTAGCTTAAGCCGCCATCAGAATAAATTAATTCCAACTAACTCTTTGGTAATATCCAAATGCACAACAAGGTCTATTTTTAAAAATGGAGCCATTGGGAATGACAGGCCTACTGAAGGATGAATAATCTCCAGTATTGAGAAAATTCTAGGGAGGGTCCCATAGTTCTCTGTTAATCACTTGACATTGTTCTTGCTGTCCCTGTGGAGGGCAGGTAAGGGCTGCAGCATATGTGGACAGGCCAAAGCCTCATGATCCAAACAGATGGTCATGGCCAAGGGGACACTGTCCTCCTTTTCCCCTGCCTCAGGATTCTTTTGTTACTGTTGTTAGTTATGCTATAGGGTGTGTGCATTTACCAGAGAGAGAGAGTGGGGAAGTGAGAGATGTCTCCTTGGGGGGATGGCCATGCCACAATCCCTTTCCCTCCAGTCTTCTCTCAGGATTTAGGGCATGCATGCAGAAGCGCCTGGCATGATTTCCAAGCCACTGGGTCCACGACTTGAACCATGCCACCAGTCATATGGGATTCAGTGCCTTAACCTTCATGCCAACTGCTGGCCCAGCCCAGGATTCTTAACGTAGAGGACAGGGTTCACATTCGCATTCATTGCTCCTTTCATCTCCTTGGGAACAGATCCAAACCCCCTGAATGCACTGTCTCAGGAGTCCTGCATGCTGATGGAACTGGGCAGGACCCAACTATGGCTGCTTCGGACTAAACTGACCCTCTGGAGCATGACTAGAAGCTCGCCAGCTCTGGAAATGGAAGCCTAGAGGAAGACCAATGACAACACAGTGCTGGACAACATTGTGCTCAGCTTCAGGTATTTCCTTTGTTCCATCCTTCATGCTGTACCCATGCACTGATCCGTCTTGTAACCACCCACCCTCCATCTCTACTTGATCGATCAATCCATCCGTCCTGTTTCCCTGAATGCTAGGTAATGTCTACTCATGCATCTATCCTGCACTTGCCCATCCCCGTGCCCACCCAACCATTCCGCCTTCCCTCCATCCTGCGGCCCTAGATCATCTACACATCGTGTGCATCAGTTCACATGCCCATCTACCCTTCACCTACCTGCCCCTCCAGTCTCCATCCCTGCGTTATCCAGGGATCTTTGCATCATTGATCCACCCAATCTGCACCTAGGACCTGTTTCCTAAGGTCACCATGCTAAAGTTTGGGGCTAGAAGAGCAAATTAAGCCAAACTCCCCGACCTTACAGATAATCACGACACAGCACGATACAGAGGGCTGTGTGTATGGGTGCATCTTCTCTCATAGGAAGGAAAGACTTTCGGAGTTGCCATTTTTTTCCTATCTATATTCGCCAACTCCAAACACATAGCTTCCTTCCCTTTCTCTTTTTCTTTTTTTCTTTCCTTTTTTTAATTGCCAGAAGGCACATGCGCTCACTATAGAGATAGGGAGGGAACAGGACTCCCCCATGGAGTGTGGCCACGCTATAATCCCTTCGTCTCCATTCTGATTTGGGGCATGCATACACATACACACACACACACACACACACACACACACGCATACCACCACCACCACCACCACCACCCCACACACACACACATGTCCAGGATGTTTTTCAACCCACTGGGGCCAGGATGTGAACTACAGTAGGCCCTGTGGGATCCAGATCCCATAACTGTTAGGCCACAGTGCCAGCCCTCAAAATATAGTTTTCTAAAACATGGGTCACGCTATTCTGGGAAGAGATCAGTGTTGGCAGGGGACAGTGTAACTTCCTGACTGAAAAAAAGATTTCAAAGATAGAACTGTACCACAAAATCAGATACTGGGGGCTTCCTCAGGGACAGGTCCTATCTATTAACTGAGTCATGTTCACAATTTGTGAGTACAGCTCAAGAGAGTCAACTCCTAGGAGGCCCCACCCCACCCTGAGGCAGAGTCCAGTTCTGACAATAAAGGGAGATAACTTTGTGATGAGGCCTTGGCTGTGGACTTCCCTCTCTTTGTTCTCCACACCCTTTCCCTTGATGACCTTGTTCAGACTCATGACCTTCAATATCATTTTCTGCCCTGGTTCCAATTGGATAGGTTCAAAACGGACGTCCCTCACCTCCCTTTATTTGTATATCCAACTGCCTACCTGACACCTCCATTTGGAGGTCCACAGACAACCTGAATGTAACACATTCAGAATGGGGGTCCTTGGTGGTTAAGGTGCTGGACTCCCACATGGCCAACTCCAACTTGAGTCTCGGATCCAGTGGTTTGTTCTCTGACTTGCCCTCTGTCGCTCTCTCTCTCTGGTGAGTGCATGTACCCTATAGCAAATTAAATAATAATAACTAATAAATAAATAATTCTAAAACTAAAAAGAGTTTAAGAGGAAAAAGAAAATATTCCCTTTACCTACCCAGTTACTCAAGTGCTAGAAGTCGCCTGTGACTCTCACCTCCCCTGGTCCCCCACTTCTGATCTGCCAGTGAATCCTGTCCATTCTTCCTCCCACGGTCTCTCCAATCTCATCTCCACAGTTACCACCCAGTCCACACCACCACTGTCTCCACAGCCCAACAGCCCTGGATGGGTTCCTCTGCTTCTGTTTCTGCTCCCCTGCAAGACTTCAGTAGTTCTTCTGTCATACTTAGAAAGACCCCAGATGCTTTCCCATAACCTGCAGGGTCCTACATGATCTAGTCCACCTGTTCTCAAAGTGGTTCTTGAGAGTCCGTGAGGTCAAACTATTTTCGTAATGATACTCAATGTTGCTCACCATTCCCACTTACATTATCTCAAAAGGATAGTTTTTCACAGCCTACATCATGTAGGGTCATGTCATCCTACTGATGGCTGATGGAATTAATATATGTATATTCCTATGCTTTAAAATTTTCTAAGTTTAAATTCTAATGTGGTTAATATCAACAAACATAACCCCTATAAATAAAATCTCATTGGGTTTCATAATAATTTTTTTCTGGGGGGATAGGTTTTTGCTATAGGATGCATGCCCTCTCCAGAAAGACAGAAAAACAGAGACAGAAAGCGAGAAATCACCCCCCCAGGGGGGATGGCCATGCCGCAATCCCTTTTCCATCCTCCTCTTGGGATCTTGGGCATGAACGTACATGTGCCCGGTGTGAGCTTAAGTCACCGGGTCCAGGACTCGAACTGTAGTTGACTACATAGGAGTCCAGTGACATAGCCATTATGACAGCTGGTCCCTCTTAATACTTTTTAAGAGTGTAATGGGATCCTAAGTTCATTTTTTCTTCCTTACTTTCTTTCCTTCCTTCCTTCCTTCCTTCCTTCCTTCCTTCCTTCCTTCCTTCCTTCCTTCTTTCTTTTTTCCCCAATGAGACTCTCGATTTAGCCCTGCCGCCCTTTCCAACTTCATCCTTAAACTTGTGTATGTGTTTTTCCACTTCCGCAGGTGCTATTCCCTTGAAGAAGCTTATGAAAGCTATCCCTGCTTCCCCGTTTTCAGTCAACACACCATCTTGATTTCCTCTGTAAAAACTCATTGCAATTTGTAATTATTCATTCACTTGCTAATTGTCCACCTCTCCCACTGGACTGTGTCTGTCCGAGGATCTTCTCTAACTGAGTCACTCACCACTGGGCCCAGCATGGTGCCTGACATGTCGTAGGCACTGCATACTTGCTGAATGAATGAGTAGAAGCGGACAAGAAGGAGTCAGAGTAGAGGAAGGAGGGGATGAATGTGGGAAGCTAGGACTTGCCACCTGGGTTTTTGGCTGAGGATAAGTGTGTCACTGCTAAGCCACATTACCTGCTGGGGTACCTTGAAGCGGACATAGGAGCAGAGCTGGAGCATTTCGCTCATCTCTTCTGGTGTGGAGGGGATCAAGGGAATCTTCTCTACGGCGGATGAGTCCTGCAGTTCTTTCAGCCGTTGGATGAATTTATTATCAGTTGAATACTGCAGGCCTGTGGGATTCAAACCAAAACAACCTGACAATACATCTACCTTCTCTCCAAACCCCATTTTATGTAGGGAAGTTCCATTAATAGCTAAGAACTACTAATATATTGCAGATTTCTTTCACCAGTAGATTTCTTTTTCATTAGTACTGCCTCCTTGCTCAAAGTTGAAATAAAACTCTGAGAACAGAAAAAAATGTTTTCAAGATATTTTAGGGATGGTTACCTACTGCTATAATTTAGATAACTGTTTGCCTCCCAAAGGTTCATTTTCTAGAAGTTTACTCCCCAGTGTAAGGGCTTTGGGGACATGAAGACCTTTAAGAAGTGGGTTCTCATGGAAAGACACCATCTGATCATTTAGCAGCATGGCAGGGACAAAAACAGGAAGTAGGAATTCTGTTTCCTCTCTCTTTGCGTGTGCCCACTCTCCTCTCTTTCTGTCAGCCATGTTGTAACACAGCACCAGGGGCTGGCCTGATGCCAGTTCCATACATTTGGACTTCCCAGGCACTAGAATCGTGAGCCAAATAAACCTCTATTCTTTATAAACCTCCAAATCTCAGGTATTTCTAGCAAAATATAGGACTAGTACACCTGCACTGTGGCCCACAAACTGGGAACATCAGGAGCCACAGAAACGCTCAGCCTCTCTCCATACCTCTTGAATCAGAATCTACATTTTGACAAGTTGCGAGGAGATTCACATGTATACTAGAGTTTCAGAAGCATTCATTTACAAGGCAGCTTGTGAGCCCTTTTCTCATCTGTATTGTCCAAAACAGATTTGAGCAAGTACATGATAGGGTGAAAACACAGGGCTGGAGTGGCGGACTACTCCTTCCCTCGGCCTGGACCCACGAAGAGTGCTCTTGTCTAGAGAAAATACACACTACGCAGGGAGAGTGTCGGTCTTCTGAGCTGTCCCCATGTTGGGGCAACAACACTGCCACTCTCTACATTTATAATAAATCCCTCTTCCTCCAGGAGAGCATCAAGTCCTGCTGAGATGGATTCTCTTTGAGACTGCTCATTATTTTCCATCATCCTAGAGCATGAGGGAGTGCAAAAAACCTGACATTATACAGGAGCTCGAAACTTTCATTTCTTACACTGAGCAAATTTCTAGGTGTTTAACTGAGCCAAAGGGCTAGATTTTAAAGGTTTAGAAAGAAAGGCAGTAGCATCAATAATTGGTCATGTTGCTAAAATCCATACTTCAGAAATCTATACCCAGTGGGGCCAGCCGGTGGCGTGGTGGTTAAGGGCGCTGGACTCCCACATGGTAAATCGCGGTTCGAGTCTTGAACGTGGTGGCTTGCTTTCTCACTTTCTTTCTGTCTCTCTCTGGTCAAATTTAAATAAATAAATAAATAAAGTTATAAAATAACTCTTGGGGGAAAAGAAAAAAAAAGAAATCTATATTGAGTAACTCATTTAAATCCCACATAAGTATCATGTACAGATAAGATATAATCTTTCAAGATTCTATGAAGTACATTATATTATCTATTTCCTCCTTTCTCTTTGCAAATAATCCTAGGCTAAATGTCAGCTGGTATTCTGGACTGGAGGATACTAGTGAAAAAATTAAGTGAAATCCAAAAAACGTCTGGAGCTCAGTTAATAGAAGTGTACCAATGTCAGTTTCTAGTTCTGACGAACTTATTAGCAATGGGGGAAAGTGGTTAACGGGTATATGGGACTCTGTACTGCCTTTGTAATTTTTCTTAAATTTAAAGAACATTTATTAAAAACAACCTGGTTAGAATAGAATCATAAATCTGTTTCTACTTTTTCATGTTCACATTAAACCTAATTTTAAATTTCCAGTTGAAGCTCAGGTCTTCTCTGAGCAAATGAACATACACTTGAAAAAGCCAGTTAGCTCTGACCTCCCATTAGAGATTTAAAATCCAATAATCTCCCATAGGGGCTGTTTCTTCCATTTCAAACTATATTATTAAAAGACCAAATGATTTTGGACGTGGCACGTGGAAAAAAGAAAAGAGAAAAAAACCCTTTGGGGACTTGTCTTCAATTTCAATGTCCTTAACAGGGCAGAAAACTATTAACTTTCCGAGTAGCATAAGGATTTTAGAGGTCTGTTTAGCTCAGTTTCAGTAAAAGGAAGTAAGTGTTTAACCCCTGGCTGGGTTCTAGCTGAATCATATAAAGGACGTACTGCATATGAGTCATATAAAGAATACAGCAAATATGGAAGGACTTCCAAAAGAGCCACAGCCTGGATGCCAGAGCCAGACAGCCTGGGATCAGTTCCCATCCCAGTCCTGCCACTAATGTAATGTCTTTATGCCTCAATGTTCCCATTTACAAAATGAGCATTTTGATCTTAATGGCGGTTACATATGAAAAAACTCATTGGGAACCAGCAGTTAGCGTAATGGCTATGTCGCTGGACTCCCACGTAGTCGACCGCAGTTCGTGTCCCAGACCTGGTGGCTTAAAACTCACGCCGGGCACGTGTGCGTGCGTGCCCAAGATCCCGAGAGGAGAATGGAGGAGAAGGGATTGTGGCGTGACCATCCCCCCTGGGGGGTGATTTCTCGCTTTCTGTCTCTATGTCTCTCTCTGTCTGTCTGGCGAGCGCACGCGCCCTACAGTGAAAATCTCTCCAAAAAAAAAAAACCTCATTGAGATGTGCACTTAAAATTTTGAGCCATATCCTAATAAAGTACCACAGACAGAGGGAGGAAGAAGGAGAAAGACAGAGAAGATAAGATTTTATCTATCAAGTATTATAAATCCGTTTGGATACTTAGAGAAGAAAAATAAATTCAAAATCTAACTTCAAATGGTAATCCTTTTTTTTTCTTTTTTTAAAGAATTATTTATTTTATTATTTTAATTTGCTATAAAGGTAAATTTCAAAGTAAGCAGAGAGAGACAGAGAGAGAGAGAGAGAAAGAGAGAGAGAGAGAAAGTGAGAAAGCAAGCTGCCAGGTCCAGGACTCAAACCACCATGTGTGAGTCCAGCACTGAAACCACCACACCACTTGCTGGCCCCTAGATTGCAATCTTGAGAGACACATTACAGCTCATACTGACATGCGTACATATAAGAATATAAGAACACAGAAATTAACATTAACATTCTTTTTTTTTTTTTTTTTTTTTTTTTAAATATCTTTTTGTGGACCAGCCAGTGGTATGGTGGTTGAGGTGGCTGGATCCCACATGGCCGATGGCACAGTTTGAATCCTTGACCAGGTGGTTTGAAAAACAAACTGGCCGGGAACCAGCAGTTAGCATAATGGCTATGTCGCTGGACTCCCACGTAGTCGACCGCAGCTTGCGTCCCAGACCTGGTGGCTTAAAATTCACGCCGGGCGTGTGTGTGTGTGAGAGTGTGTGCCCAGGATCCCGAGAGGAGAATGGAGGAGAAGGGACTGCGGCGTGACCATCCCCCCTGGGGAGTGATTTCTCACTTTCTGTCTTTATGTCTCTGTCTGTCTGGTCTGTCTCTCCAAAAAAAAAAAAGAAAAACAAACTGGCCACAAGTGGAGAGTGGCTAATCTGAGCAGACATAGTGACCTTTAGACACATAAAAAACCTTGGTTCCATGAGCTGTCATTTGCATGGTGATGAAAGCAATTTCCATGAAAATACACTAGCTTGCTGAAATTGCAGAGCAGTATCTGTTTAAAGGAAGCCACATGCGTTTATCAGAATTTGCCCCAAAAGATCAAATTGCATGGTGCCAGTTATCCTCACATCTTCAGCTGGTTAACATCAGAAAACAACTGGCTTTGCATTCTATTTATTCTCCCCCCATTTTCTACCCTTTAATAAAATAAACCTGAGATGGGTTCAGAGTCATGGTTATTTCCATCAGAGAAGTTGGGCCCACCCGATCCTCGCTTTTCACATATAAGTCTTTGTGTGTTTATTTTTATGTTTATTTCCAATCCACAGCCCCCTTCACTAAAAAAAAAATGAGTTCTGCTGAACAAGTTTTGGCAGGCACATATGCATGCTTGCCCAAAATCCCGAGACAAAAATGGAGAAGGAATTGTGGCATGACTATTGCCCCTGGAGTGATGGCTGCTTTCTCTCTCTCTCTTTCTCATACTCTCTTCAGTGAGCAGTTGCACCCCACTGCAAATTAAAAACTAAATTAAATTAAAATTTAAAAAGATATTATAATGAATAAATACCTGTTTTTGTTCCCAAAAACAAAAATATAATTATAGTACTTTCCCCTCATAGTGGTGTTATGAGAATAAAATTCATATGTAAGCTTAGCTCTTAAGAATGCAATAAGGGGCCAACAGTTGGTGTAATAGCTATGTCACTGCACTCCCATGTAGTCAACCGTGGTTCAAGATCTGGACCTGGAGGCTTAAATTCATGCCAGGCGTGTGTGCATATGTGCCCAAGGTCCCGAGAGGAGAATGGAGGAGAAGGAACTACAGCATGGCCATCCCCCCAAGGGGATGATTTCTCACTTTTTGTCTTTCTGGCATGCTCACGCAGCCTATAGTAAAAACTTCTCCCCCCCAAAAAAGAATGCAGTAAATGTTAATATTTACATTAAATTTCAAAGTATGCATGTGCTATTGTTAAAAGCACTATACACAAGTGAATTAATTCTTCATGGAACAAGGCTGGCTCTATAGTTTCAAAGTTGGTATGATTATGACTACAATTATGCGAGTATTGTTTTAGAGCTATCCCTAAACACTGTATGTCTCTAAAGTACACATCAAAAAGATTATTCTAAAAACTAGTCAGACACTGGCCACTTGTTCTTTAAGAGATTCAGACCTCACTGTGCTCACATCACTCACAAGGATGTTTTAGCCTTGAAACTCACCGGCGGGGCACACAAGACTCAGGCTGGAAACATCTGATGGGTAGTAAGCTGCATATACCCCAGCCACATGGCCACCCATAGAGGTGCCTATCAGATGGAAGGGTTTTTTGTTCAGCTTGAGGCATTCTACAAACTAGGAAGGGAGAAAGAGGTTTGGTCATTCAGTTGTACACAATGATAATGGTGAGTACAGAGTAGAAATCCCCTGGACTTCCTATGGACAACCAAAAACAACTTTTAATGAAAGAGTTTCAGACTGAAACTGCACTGGATCCACCATCAACAAGAGCCCTGTGGCACACATGTACTTCTCTCCACCCAGCACAGACTGAGGGGGGGGTCCTTCAACTAACAAGGATTCCTCCAACTCATAAGGACCAGAGGGTAAGTAGTTTCTGCTTTGTGGGCCATCTGATCTCTATTGTAACTACTCAGTTCTGCCATTGTGGCATAAAAGCAGTCCAAGACGATATGTAACTCAGATGGGTGTGGCTGTGTTAAACTTAGTTTACAAAATAGGTGGCAGGCCACATATACCTCACAGGCCACAGTTTGACTCTTAGCCTATCTTAAAGCCCTTCCCATCCATCTGACCACCCATTCACGTAACTATCCACCCATCCATCTATCCAACAAATCATCCACCCTTCTGACCATTCAATAAGTCATCCAACAGACCATCCATTCATCTAGCCATCCATCTAAAAAATATATACTAGATACCTACTATTTACAAGGAACTATGGTCAGCTGCTAAGACTACAGCAAGATAGCCAAAGAGATAAGGTCACTGACCTCATTAAAATACATAGTTTAATAAGAAAGACCTATATTAAGTAAATATCCTCATCTGGGGAAAATACCTATAGTCAACCTGAAACCTATGAGCTACCTAATCTGAAATGGCTTGTGTCCCCATGACTTTGAAAGCCAAGATGGAGGGGACTAGAGATAGATGCTAAAATAAGACAAAATGAAAAAAGCACTCCCCTCAATGAGGCAGAGGGGCTATTGCTGTTATCATGCAGCTGGTGAGTGGAAAAATGGGCCCCCAAAGAGGGAAATGCTCTTGAGAAATTCTAAACTCCTTTCAAAAAGATAAGAAAATGCCCAGATTGTGTTTCTTCATAAATAGCTCTAATAGATATAGAGGACAAGTCTGTAATAAGCCTTGACCATTCATGGCTGACCAAGGATATCATTGGGTTGCCAATGTGTTTGCAATTACTCTCAGACAAAACACTTCCAAGACTGTTCACAAGTCAGCGTGGAACTCTCTGCCAGCTCTAAGACTTGGGTGTGTGATGATGGGCAAGATCCAGTGTGGACAATTATGGGTGGAGCCTCCTGCTTACCTGGTGTATTCTCTTGACTTGCCCATCTATGGATAGGTCATCCAGGGAGGAGCGGGTGGTGCCCTCGTGTCCTGGCATGTCTACGCAGACCAAGTGCAGGTTCTTTGGAAGAAACTGAGGACACACAGACCTGGAGAGTCAGTATGAACAGTGTGCACAATCTACCCACTTTTCTGGGGAAGTTGCCTCTGCTTACCAAGTCAGCTGTACAGCCCTCCCTGGGGATATAAGGGCCCGGCTCACCCAGTGTTTTACCCCTCTAATGTGAATAAGCACTGCCAATAGCCTCACGGAAAGAAGAGGCTCCCAAAAAACTAATATGCAGATGGCAGGGGGCTCAAGGGAGACAGAAAAAGGGGGAACAATAGTCAGGGTGGCTTAAGTCTCTTGCTCTTTCTTGACACCGGCTGGCAGGTACTAATCCCTTCTCCTTCCTCTCACCCTTCCACACTAACTCCAGCCAAGTGGATTAACTGGGAACTAGAAGGGGGGTTCTGTCCTCCCCGAGTCCCTCCAACTCCAGAGCCAACAGGAGCAATGCTTCTCCGAGAACCATCTCTGACCACCCCAACTTGGGGTTCAACTTTTTCCTTCCTTTTACACTAAGGTCTAATTCCTTAGCTGAGTATTATCCTAAAACGTCTTCTATTTGGATATGTACTATTTTTAACCGGGACACTGAGAACCTCCAGTTATCAACAAATACCCAGTTATAGGACAGATGCTTATCAGAAGTAGGGACAGGAAGTGGGGGAAGGGCTCATAAGGCAGAGATGACAATTCTCACAGAGGGATTTGGAAATCAGAGCTCGCGTAACTGGAGGATGTATCAGCCTTTCCCTGATCATGCCGGTGATTTGGGGAGCTCTCAGGTAGGGTCCTGTCTGAGGGAGAAGTCTGGGATGCTTCTCTTCTAAGACTCCACTGGCCCAACCTTTGCCAATAGCCATTCTCACCAAGTACAGCAAGTGGCCATGCCACATAAATCAAGCAAAAAATATGATTTGGAAAAAACAATTCCAGAAAATTGCCTGGTTAAGATAATTTCTGTGGGGACCAGCAGTTAGCATAATGGCTGTGTCACTGGACTCCCATGTAGTCGACCGCAGTTCGAGTCCTGGACCCACTAGCTTAAACTCACGCTGGGCGTGTGTGAGTGCCCAAGATCCGGAGAGGAAAATGGAGAAGGGATTGCGGCATGGCCATCCTCCCTGGGGGGTGATTTCTCGCTTTCTGTCTCTCTGTCTCTCTGATGAGCGCACGCGCCCTATAGCAAAAAAGCCTCTCAAAAATAAATAAATAAATAAATAAATAAAGTAATTTCTGTGAATGGCCAAGGATAAGGAAAAAGCAGATGGGTCAATGAGTGGTATGGTCGTTAAGATGCTAGATCTCACATGGCCAACCCTGCAGTTCGAGTCTCTAACTCGGTGGCTTGAAATACATGCCAGGGGGTCAGCAGGTGGCATATTGGTTAAGGTGCTGGACTCCTGCATAGCTGATCATGGTTCAAGTCCTGGATCTGGCAGCTTGTTTTCTCACTTTCCCTCTCTTTCTGTCATCCTCTGGTGAGAGGACAACAGAAAATATAGCAAGTAAAAATAATTTTTAAAAATTAAATTAATAATTCTTTTTTTTAAAAAAAAGGAAGTGTAAAACATGTTGGGCAGTGCATTGTGTACAAAATCCTAAGAGGAGAGTGGAGGAGAAGGGGTCACAGTGTGCTCACCTCCCCGGAGGGTGATTTCTCACTTTCCCTGTCTCTTTCTGGCGAGTATACTCGCCCTATAGCAAAAAATCTGGAAAAGGAAAGGAAGAAAAAAAAGTAAAAAGCAGAAGTATAAGGAGGGAGGAAGGAAAAAGGAGAAGGAGCAGAGGGAGGGGAAAGAAGAGAAGGGAGTTGGAGTACAGAAATGTTTTTTTTTTTTTTTCCTTAGATTTTTGCTATAGGGTGCATACACTCAGCAGAGAGAGAGAGAGAAAGAAAGTGAGAAATCACTCCCCAGGGAGGATGCCTAACTGCAATCCATTCTCCTCCTGGGATTTTGGATATGAACACACACATACCCAGCATGTTTTAAGCTGCCAGGTCCAGGACTTGAACCACGGTAAGCCATGTAGGAGTCCAGAGCCTTAACCACTACACTACCTGCTGGCCCCTAGAAGTGATTTTTAAAAAGCCCACTCTTGATTTTCATGGCAGCTCTGAGTTGAAGCTGTGTCAGAAACCACCTCTACAAAAAAAAAAAAATTCATAAAGTAGAAAAGTTTCTAAGGCACAAGTTTTACACTCAACCAATTTTGTCTGACAGAGAATCTGAAAAATAAGTCACATTTGTCTACATGTGGCTTGACCCGCAGCCCTGGGTTCCCTTGGTTTCTACCACCATGGTGGCCGCCATGTCCAAGGGGAAACCCTTTCCATCTGAGAGAGCGGAACTGGGCACTGCACCTTGACCACGCTGAGCCACATGTCCTTGTGTGCAGAGAATCCGTGGAGCATGAGGATGGAGGGTCTGTGCCCCGGCCTGCCCCGGAAGGAGTAACAGAACTGGTAGTCTTCGTGGTAGACATATCGGACCTGCATGCCCAGCGTCCTCCGCCAGTACCTAGGTGGGAGGAAGAAAGGCAGAACGACATGGTAAGCCGCAGGTAAGTGGCTTCGGGAGGGACATGGTCCCCTCTGCAAGTCTTCCTAGTGATGAGATCTCACTGCTCCCAGCCTTCGTCCCTGTAAATCTTTTCCGGAGTGCTCCAGAGCATCACTTTCAAAGAGCACTGAAGTCAACCATTCCAGAAAGCAAAAGGAGCGATGCTGATATGGATTTTGCTAATCAATTAACTAAGAAGCACATCTCACACACACGCCCTGGGTTAATACATATTTCGAGGGGCTTGGAGAGTGAGAACTCAGTTCTGGAGAGCCATCTGCACCAATCCTCTGGCTTTCTGCCCAGCTACATAAGAGAGCTGGCAGAAAGCGCAGCTTCTGTTGGTTACATAAGACTTGGCAGTGCTAGGGCTTTGCCCCTAGATCGGTTTCAATATGAAACTGGCATCTAAACAAATTGAACTCTCCCTGTGAAGGATCTCTCTAAGATGCAAGATAATTAATTCAATCAGAGATTTGCTCTGTGATATACTTTACACCGAAGCAGCAGCCAAGTCTGAAAAAAGTGAACAACCTAAATTGACCGGTCTTAACCCTTTGTGTACATTTGTGTAAAATGAGGGAGTGGGAGAGGGAGAGAGGAATGCATACTCACGTTTACTTACATCCACATATGGAAAGTGGGAGCATATACAAGAGACACACTTTTTTTTTTTTTTTTTTAAGTTTTTAGTAGAGGATGCATATGCTCGCCAGAAAGAGAAGGAGGGAAAAGTGAGAAATCACCCCCTGGGGGAATGCCCATGCTGCAATCCTTTCTTCATTTTCTCGGGATTTAGGGCATGCATACAAATACACTTGGCGTGATTTTCAAGCTGCTGGATTTGGGATTCAATCCGTGGTCAGCCATGGAGGAGCCCAGCACCTTAACCACCACGCCACCTGCTAGACCACTGATACTTTTTTTTTTTTAAGTTCATTTATTTCATCCATGGGTGAGACAGACAGTGCCCCCAACAGGAGGCTGACTCTGTGATCCACTCCCAGGCTCAGCCAGCCCAGGTCATGGGGACACAAATGCCAGATGTACTCAGGGAGCTCTGGGAGTGCAAACCCAGAACCTTCCCATGTGGGTTGGCCTCACAGGGTGTCACACCACCACTGCACCACCATCTGGCCTCCACAAAATACTATTTTTTAAAAGAATTATTTATTTATTTTTCCCCCCCAATTCATCAGAGACAGAGAGAGAGAGAGAGAGAAAATGAGAAATCAAGCTGCCAAGTCCAGGACTCAAACCACATCAAAAGTCCAGCACTTCAACCACCATGCCACCTGCCAGCCCCTCTGCAAGATTCTATTAAGATAAGTACATGGGGAGTGTGGCATGGTGGTTAAAGCAGCTGGACTCCCACATGACTGACCACAGTTTGAGTCCTGGACCTGGCAGCTTGCTTTCTCACTTTCCTTCTCTCTCTCTGGTGAACTTCAAAAAAAGAAAAATAATGATCATTTAAAAAATTAAATAATTCTTTCATCAAAAAGTAACTGGAGTGAAAAAGCAGAATAAGATGAGAAGCAGGTGGATGTTGAACAGAATGGGGGGGAGACTTCCACCGAGTTCCTTCTGATGCTTGTGGGCGACTGCACTGTCTGTTCAGACGTTAGAAATGTACTGAATTGGCTAGCTGAAAATTCTTCTCATGGTAATGCAAGTGCATTTCAAAATTCGAAACCATGGCACCCTGACTTTGTTCATGCAGCCCTGCTCACTCATTCACAACCTAGAGCCACAGTTTCCTCATCTTTAATTGAGGAGATGTTGCATTACACTAAAGATGAACTACAAAGATTTAATGAGATAATCCATGTACAAAATTGTGTTCAATGTCCAGCACATGGTACATACTCAACAAATGGTAGTTATTAGTATTATAACAACGATTCTGGGGCCAGTCCTGTGGCTTGGTGGTTAAGAGAACCACATGGCCGATCACAGTTTGAATCCTGGCTCCGGTGGCTTGAACACCATGCTGGCAAACATGATGGGCATCCAAAATCCTGACATGATGGATAAATGGAAAAGGGACTGCAGCATTGACCATGCCATACTGGGGGGAGATCTCTCCCCCTGTCTCTCTCTATTGAGCACACACGCCCTCTGGGAAGAAAAAAAAAACCAACAAATTCTCCACAACTCTCACACAAAGCATGGTATGAGGCCCATGAAGCAGTGGAGGGCCCTTCCAGGAAGGCGAGACTGAGCAGACGATGGAAACTCAGCAGACATCAGTTGGAGCTGATGGAAAAGGTCAGCCAGCCTGGGGGACAGCCAAGTACGACCTGAGCCCAGAGTGAAGGAAGGTGAGGCAGGAAGTCAGCCTGAGCACCAGGCTCAGAAACCGAGGACTTCATCCCCAGGGGACGCCCTTCTGTACTACTCCATATGAGGGGACCAAAAACATTTCATGGGAAGGCCGAATTAAAGCTTGAGTTTATTTTGGTGCAAAATATGTTGCATAACTTTTTCATCACAGGTACTTTTCATCAACTTTTCCAAGCTCATTTTTCAAATGATCCCCGCAGCGAGAGAGTGGGAAGAAGGCTCTACGTCACCAGGGCAGCTAAAAAACAATGAAAGACTGATGGGCCAGATGGAAAAAAATGTTGATAGACAGCAAATCACCTCTAATTCACAAAGGCAGATTAGAAATAGCTGCAACCCGGAGGCCAGCAGGTGGCATGGTGGTTAAGGCTCTGGACTCCCATGTGGCTGACCCCAGTTTGAGTCCTGGACCTGGTGGCTTGCTTTCTCACTTTCTCTGTCTCTCTCTGATGAGCACATGTGCCCTTTAACAAATTAAAACAAATAAATAAAGAAAAAAAAAGAAAAGAAAAAGAAATAGCTATAGAAAAGAAACAAAGAGGAGAATTAAGTCAGAATGACTCAATGTCTCAGAAGCCAGATCACTTACATCAAATACTCTCAGGACAAGGGCCAAACTGCTCCTGTTTCAAGGACAGTAGTCACTGAAGTCGCTACTGACCTAAATTAAAAAGTCCCAAAAAGGAGCCTCCCCTACTCCCCTGGGAATAGAAGCTCCTGGGATCTAGACCTCTCCCCCTCAAAGTCTCTCCTTCTGCAGTTAACCGGAACCTCTGAAGAAAAGTACTCATAGTTGTTTGTTTTTTCAATCCTGGTAACATGAAATATGCCACTGTAATCATTTTAAATGTCTATTCAGTGGCACTAGCGCATTGGCAGTGCTGTGCAATTATGATCTCTATCCCTTTCCAGACATTTTCATCACCCCAGATAGAAACTCCGCACCCGCCTCCCCTCCTCCAGCCTCTGGGAACCTCTATGCTATTTTCTGTCTCTAGCAGTATGCCTGTTCTAGGTGTTGTGTATATGTGGACTCATACAACATCTCTGTGTGTGTGTCTGGCTTGTTTCGTGAGCACCATGCTCTTGAGGCTCATCCGCGTTGTAACACACATCAGAACGTCAGCCCTTTTGAAATCTGAGCTCTATTCTGCTGTATGTACAGACCACGGTTTATTGATCCATTCTCCTGGAGGGGACATCTGGGCTGTCTGCATCCTTTATTGGGAAGACGGCTTCTATGCACTGGGGCACGATATCATCCGAGACCCTCCTGGCAATGTTCAGGGCTAGAAACCCAGAAGTGGAATTGCTGGGCCATATGGTAATTCTTAGCAGAAGAGGGAATTTAGGTCACAAAACACAAAGCGGGAGGAACACAATGCGAGCGAGCGGCAGCAGAGATTAGAGGGGGGCACCTATAAGTCAAGGAGGGCCAGGGACCGTCAGCAGTTAGGGAGAGCTAAGGGAAGAGGCACAGACAAGTCTCCCTTAGAACTACCGAGACCCAGTCATGCCAACACCTGGATTTCAGATTTCTGGCCGTCAGAACCACAAGAGAAGCAATCTGTGTTGTTTCAAGCCACCCTGCTCAGGGTAGTTTGTTGAAGCAACCAGAGGGAACTAGATTAAGCTTTTCCAGATGGATATCTACTGAACTCAGCCCCTCCCGTCCCCACAGAGCAGGCTGCCTTTGTCACAAACCAAGAGGAGGCACCTCCGGGCAGCTGCCCCTGGGCTCGCCCGCCCCATTGCTCTGTCCCTCCTCCTCTGCCCCAATTCCATCCTGACGTGGCTTCCTGTCATTTCATAATTAGTTTTGATAGCTGATGGGGTATCAATAAATCCTCTAGCTTTGTTCTCCTTTTAGACTGTCTTGCTTAATTGACCCTTTACTGTTTTATTTTTTAACAAACTTAACAATCAGCTTATTGATTTCCATTAAGAAAAAAATTTAAATTTAAATTTAAAAACCTGCTAAGGGCCAGCCTGTAGCCTGGTGGCTAAGGCTGCTGGGTCCCACATGGCTGACTGTGTGGTTCGAGTCTCAGATCTGGCAGCTTGAAAAATGTGCTGGGTATGTGTTTGTATATGCCCAAAATCAAAATCCTGAAAGGGACTGCAGTGCAACCATGCTCTATGGGGGTGCTTTTTTACTTTTTCCCCCTTTCCCTCCAGCCAAAGCACATGCCCTCTAGCAAAAAGAAAAAACAAAACAAAACAAAACGGGGGCTGGCAAGTGGCATGGTGGTTAAAGGCGCTGGACTCCCACATGGCCGACCACGGTTCAAGTCTCAGACCTGGCGGCTTGCTTTCTCACTTCCTCTCTCTCTCTTTCTCTCTCTGTCTCTTTCTTATCAACCAGAAAAATAATAATGATAATAATAAATAAAGTTAAATAAAATAATTCTTAAAAAAAACAAAAAAAAACCCAAAACCACCACCAAAACCATATACTCCAAAAAAACAAAACCTTCTGGGATTTACCCACCAAAACCATAAACTCCAAAAAAACAAAACCTTCTGGGATTTACATGGGTATACACTGACTGTATTGATCACAGTAGAGAAATCTAGTATCTTTATCATAGCAAGTCTTTCAACCCCCAAGTTTTGTGTACTCCTCCAGTTACTAGGTCTTTTTAAATTTCTCTGGATACTTTGTAGTTTTCTGCCTAGACATCATCTACACCGACCTCCTTAGATTTATTTCTTCTTAGGAATTTTATATTTGTTGATACTATGGTAAATAGTATTAAATTTCTCTTCATTTTCTATTTCTTTGTTGCTGGCATATAGGGATACAACTGGTTTTTGTTTACCAATTTTCTATTCAGCAACCTTGCCAAAATAATTTATTAATTCTAACAAACTACAGCTTCTGGATTCTCTCTCTATACAATCATCCCATCTACAAACAATGTCACTTTTATTTATTCTTTTCCAATTCTATCTTGTTTCCTCTTATACTTATGTAAGAGAATTATGTGCTATGACTTATCTTGATTTTGCAACTGAGTTCCCTTGGGAAACCATACTCCTCGGAAAATCTCGGTCTTCTCCCTCCTGTAAACAGCCTTGGTGTCGCCATCACACAATGACAATCAGAGCTGCTGCTCATGCCACCCGTGGTGGCTGCAGCATCCCCAGTCCTGGCTTTCTGTGACTTGGGGAAAAGCATTTGACCTCCCCTCACCCTACCCTGTAGGAGCAACCATACAGTCTATGTCACTGTAGAAGCAGGCTGGTCACATGCCAGGGACAATTAGACCCAGAGGGAGCTGCTCTGAAGACTGGATGTGGCTTACTGAGGATAACTGTTCCCATTCCCAGAGGAAAGTACGGGAGAATGCACGTCCTGAGGACGTCAGCAAGCCCTTGTGCTCAGATGGTGGGGCCATGGGGGGCAGGTGTCGAGCTGCCCCTCCTGCCTGCTGCTCCCGTTTGTGTAGCAATCCCGAAAATTAACCCGACCCACTTGGGTGTGTGAGGTGACCCCCACTGTGGACACGGTGGGCAGCCAAACAAATAAAGGCCTTTGGAGGAGTGTTGGGGTTAAGGGAGGTAGCGACACGGGTAAAGCTGCTCGTCCTATGACAACCACGAAATGTCACTTGCAGCCAGGCGCTCTGGAGGAACAGCCGGTGCACTTCCGTGTGGGGGAGGGACTGCACACAGGATTTCTGACAGCTCTCTGCAATGGCATCGTCAGTTCTATGACTATAGTCCTCCCCCCCCCCCGCCGCAATGCCACCTGGCAGGATCCAAAAGGTTTTCTAGGATTTTCACCCTCCCCACCCCCACCTAGCTGGGTTTTCTTCTCGGCCCACATGTCTGAGTACACGAAATACAGAGCACGGCATTTGCCCAGCTTTGAGCTGGGCGACAACACAGGCCGGATATATGATCACTACTGTCAGGGCCAGTGGGTGATGTGGTGGTTTAAGTGCTCAACTCCCACATAGGGGACCACAGTTCAAGTCCCAGACCTGGCAGTTTGAAAATTACACTGGGCACGAGTGCATACATGTATGCCCAAAGTTCCAGGAAGAGAATGGAGAAGAAGGGATTGTGGAGTGGCCATCCCCCTAGGGGTGATTTCTCCTCTATTTCTCTCCAGTGAGCGCATGTACCCTATAGCAAAAACCTAAAAAAAAAAAAAAAATCACTACTATCGGTTTATAAGGGACTGGAAATTCCGAGCTGTGGTATTAGGGTGTTATAGCTTTTTAATGGTATTATTTATTAATAAAAGTGAGTTATTTGCTATGTAGAATTACAATAACATAAAGTGGCAATAACCTACATATCCATGAACAGAAGAGTGAATAAAAAAATGTGATATATATATATGTATATATATATATATATATATACACACACACACACACACACATTGGAATATTATTCAGCCATAATAATGATAATGAAGAACTGATACAGGCCACAGCATAGATGAGCCTTGAAAACACTGTGCAAGGGCCAGCAGCTGGTGTGGTAGTTAAGGTGCTGGATTCCCACATGGCTGACCATGGTTCAAGTCCTGAACCTGGTGGCTTGCTTTCTCACTTTCCCTCTCTCTTTCTCTTTATCTCTCTCTGGTTAAAAACAAAACAAAACAAAACAAAAACAATGATAAATAAAATTAAGTAAATAATTCTTTAAAAAAGAAAACACGGCAAAGTAAAAGAAGTTTGCTAAAGGGTGTATGTGATTGCCAGAGACAGACAGACAGACAGACATAATGCACCCCCAGGGGAACTGACTGTACTGCAATCCCTTCTCTTCTCCTCTTCGGATTTTGGGGATGCACGCACATGTGCCAGGTGTGGTTTTCAAGCCACCAGGTCCAGGATTCGAAGCCTATAGTTAGCCACATGGGATCCAGTGCCTTAACCACCACACCAGCGGCTAGCCCAAGACCCCATTTACATAAAATGTCCATATCAGGCAAATCCACAAAGACAGAACAGATTTGTGGTTGCCAGGGCATGAAGGCAGGGAGACACTGGGGTGATTGCTAACAGGCCTGGGGGTTCCTCTGAGGAGACGGAAAGGTTGTGCACTTCAATGGGCAAGGGCCGTCCAACACCGTGACATGGTTAAAGTCACTGAACTGCCCATTTTAACATGGTCAATTCTATGTTATGGGCATTTTAACTTAATAAAAAAGGGAATTAGGTGTGGTAAAGGTGGCTGGATCCTACATGGTCAACTATGCTCTTCGAGTCCTGGACAAGACGGCTTGAGAAACATGCTGGGCACATGTGTGTGCGTGCCCAAAATCCTGAAAGGAAGGAGAAATGCAAGAGGAGGGACTGAGGCGTGACCATCCCACGAGAAGAGCTTTCTCATGTTCCCTCTCTCTTTTCCCCTTCTTTCTTCCCAATGACTGCCAGCCTATTCTGGCAAATAAAAGAAAAGCAGAAGGAAAAAAAAAAAAAAGAGGTTAGAAAGTCTTTTAGGCAGAAAAAAAAAGAAAAATCAAGTATCACAATTTTCCTGACACCAGGACTGTGAACGCCTTCTCCACAGCCCCAGGAATCTGGGGGTGGGGACTAGGCAGCATTGGCTGGGTTTCCTGTGAGGCGGGTGGTATTGGTCTTTACATAATCCCATCTCTGCATCCCATATCCATGGTTACGGGCCACAGCAGTGAACTGCAATCTTTGCTTCAACTTGATTTGTGTAATAAAAATGGCATTTGTGTGGAGGTTGATGGTGCCTGGGCAGCGTGGTGAGGGGGCAGCGTGGTGAGGGGGCACTACCGGCTCTGGCCTGTCCATGTCAGAGGCACCCAGGAGGCCCGGCTCCACAGCACAGAACTCCTGCAGCAAGAGCGACCACGTAAGCAGCTGGTATCTCCACTTTGGCAATGCAGAGGGTGACCCTTGGCGGAGTCACCACCCACTCCACCCCTGAGAGAGGATAAGCTCCTTTTCCTTCAGGTAGCTTCTTTCCAGGGATCAGAGCCTGGCTGGCAGGCAGAAAGTTCCAGGCTCTAGTACAACAAAAGGGAGCCAGAAAGGAGGGCAGGAA